TGTAAGTAAGCATACACAGAGGTGTCCAAGATTGTTAGGCAAATGACAAGGTGAAAGGCTGGCCCCCTCATACGCAGCTGGTAGAGATAAGAAATGATACTATCACCCTGATGGGTCAGTAGTTTCTTTTAATTTACAAAAGAACTAAATATTAAGAAAATATTTTAAAGTAGTGAACGATAGCAGGATAACTCTGGGAACAGAAAGATTTTTCTCAACAGGGCATAAAATGCAAAATCAGAAGCAAAAAGGTTGATAAATTTGATCACATCAAAATAACAGCATTTGGGCTGGCCAGATAGCTAGCGGACTAAAGCACCTGCTTAGGCAGAGCGCAGTGGCTGGGGTTTGATCCCCAGCATGCCATGCTGGTCCCACCCCCAGGGCGTGATTGAGACTAGGTGTGGTGGCATGAGCCTGTAATCCCAGTAGCTTGGGAGGCTGAAAACAGGAGAACCACTATGTGTCCAATCTACGTAGTGAGACCCTGTAGACCATGTAGACTTTGTACTAAATACATAAAAAAGCACTTACATACCCCATAACAAACTAAACAAAGTAAATATCAGTAACAAAACCAATAAACGAAACACCTCATAGACTGTAAGTGACAAAGTAGAAAAATTATTAATATCTCTATATGTAAAGAATTCCTATAAGTCAATAAGACAAGCAATTACCATCTCTAGAAGGAAATGAATAAGTGACACAAACAATTCACACATAAAATACAAATGGCAAACTAAAGCATATAAAAGTTTCATCGCACTATTTATGGGAATGCTTAAATTAAGACTGAATGCTGCTATTTACTGGAAGTGCTTAGCAAACATTGAGATGCAGGGGCACAGGTGTAGGGGCGAAGATCTTCACACAGTCAGTACTTAGGCATTAGGATTGTCGCTGGTAAGGTCTACCACCAAATCACTTAAAAGGTGCAGGTGTTCTAACTCAGCAATTGCACTTCCTAGAAAGGCTTGCTCATCAGCATATGGAGGCAAATAAAAAATACTCAATGCAACAAAAAAAATGAACACAAGCTTAATGTTAATGAATAGGGTTATAGTATCTATAACTAAAACTATGAAGCTGTTAAAAATAGTGGTACAGATCTGTATACGTGCCATAGCGTGATACATAGAAACTATAAGTTTTAAATAGCAAAACGCAGAACAATATTTCTAGGATGATCTTACATTTACAATACAGAAAATAATTTGAAATTTTGTGCTTATATATGACATACACATATACTCACATGTATGCCC